TTTGAACCGAAGCTGAAAATAACTCACAAAAGCTTTCACTTGATTTTTATCCACATTTTCCTCATGGAAAATGTTGCAAATGAAAAATGCATTTCTCACAATATATATTTTAATAGATGTAGTATATAACTAGTTGGGATAAAGAGAACAAACTGAATTTATTCATGATCCAAACCCCAATCTTATGTAAGATATACAATTTTCCTGTCCTATGACTGTTCACCTCATCATTAACTGTAACTGAAGGCTTCACAGACAAATTGTAAACGTCTAAGTGCAATAATGATTAACCTGCCATGTCACTAATGCTGCATCTTCAGAGTAATTCAGGTTAATTGCATTATACCTTGCATATATTGGTACTATCTGTCCTTAATTATACTATACTTCTTCACATAACATGTTACCACATCTTTTAAATTAGTTTTTCATGCTTTTTCATCATGGTATTAATCTTATTGGTTTACATTTTCCCTATGGTATTTTTACCTAATGACATTAGGCAGAACAAAATAAAAATAACTACCACAATCTACTCTGAATTTAATTCTTTTTAATTTTTATGTTTACTATATCCTAGGTAGGATTGTCACGCTTCTCTTGCTGGAATTACAGGGTATTTTCCCCAGCTTCCCCAGCTGAGGGTTAAGACCACATTCAAAATGCTACCACGTCTCTCTTACTCCTTATTTTAAATCTCAGGATGTTTGTTATCAGAATCATGTTCACCACTTTACCTACTTCAGCAAATCCATACTTGTAACTGAGCTTAATTAGTAATTCCTTGCCCTGCTTGAGATAATAGAAGTGAGCTCAGTAAGCCCTTAAGTAGCTAGTGTCCTGTAGGCTGGGTGTCGTTTCTGCAACAACAAAGCTGTAAGACCTGAAATGCTCTGCTGACCTTTTTCCCCATACAAAGTTCTCATTCTCAATTTCAAAATCAGCCGTAACCACAAAAACAGAACACTGGTTTTGTGGTCCCGAAGTACTTTGATTTTAAAACAAACGGCCCAAACAAGGAGGACACAGAAACTTCTGACTCTTTCCATTATGCACACAAAATGTTCATTTTGTTACAAACTTCCATTTTAACAACAAAAGATGAAAATATGCCATAATTTATATTTTAAATTGTTTTTAAAATGGTTGAAATCTGTTGATAGAAATCAGTCCTTCTCATCATTAAGTAGAGCAAATACTACTTGTGACACACAGGGGAATGTCAGTTTTCTATGTTACCAGCAATGCCAAAAAGAACAAGTTAAAGAACAGGATTTCTTATCCCTTCAAGGCAATATCTTTTTCTAGCTTCACTTTGCTCCTCACCATAGAAAAGCTGGAAATTTGAGGCAGCAACAGCACAGTGCCTGTGGAAGATGATTACATATATATATACTTTCCTTTCTAATGGGAAAAGACTTGGTAGAAGAGGGTGGGAAGAGCAGAGATAGGAACTGGAATCACTGACAGAATTACCTAAGGGCACCGGAAGTCAATGAGAAAGCCAAGCACAGAAGTGTACATGGTGATTAACAATACTGTGTGAATAAGCTCCCATGGTTTTCCATTTGGCATGAAGATGTATGCGGACCATGCCAAGAAAAGTGGTAAAAAAGGAGCATTTTAGTAATTCTCAGAGCTATATCCTTCTTTCATCTGTCAACAGGAGAAGGAGGTAGCAGTAGACTTCTAGGCGGGGTATCTATTTCCTTTTGAACTATATCTACTAGCAGACACCACACAGGAGACTACTTCCATAACAGAAATCAAGTGATTGCTATGAAACCTAATTGCTGTATCTCTAGAGGTCTAAATCATATTAACATCATTTTCTTGAAACACAGGGCTGCATATGTATCATATACACAGCCAGTCCTTTATATCTAGGCTGCTACAGTACCGGTGAAGTTTTATAATAATCTCTCTCGGAATTTGAAAGGTTTGCACTGGAACTGTTAAGCATCTGGTAGCAATGCAGATGACACATTTTTAAAAATGTTTCTCATATTAACAATGGTTATTTGAGGCGGTTAAATGATTACTTTAAATAAATATGTTCCTAACCTAACACTAAAGGTGTGATTCAGATGATCAAGTAGCAATTTTCCAAATCAGAATTTGTTATGAGCTTGATTTCATTATTAGGTTTACATCCTCTTTAAGTAAACAGAATAATAAAGAGGGCAAGCACACACTGAAGTACCATAATCAAACTCATAATTTTCTCTTCCATTTCTAGAATGAAGGTTAAGAGCAAGCTACCTCATAATTCTGTTCTGAAACATCCCAAACAAGCACTCTCCCCTACAGGCTAGCAAGGAATATCTAATTTTTTTTTAAATCAAAACCATAGTTCCAAAATTTCTTTGCTACTTTCTGCTGAAAATACACTTAAAACCTACCCTTACACATCTGTCCCAAATTTTGTTGCTGGGGAGAATCTGAGTGATTAATGACCTTCTGGGTAAAATGAAAGCTCAGTAACAAAAGACCCAGTTTCTATCATACTGTAAAACTGAATCTCAGCATAATTAAATCACAACTATATCCTTGTTACGGTATTATAGATGTTATAACACAGGTAAGTTATCCATGCACAGTGCATCTCAATGTCCTCAGGCATTTATTGCTTATGCATATTCATTATACAAACAGGTGAGTAGGTGCATTCAAGAGAGCATGCAGAATTAGACTCTTTCCTCCTTCCAATTTTTCCTCCTTCCACTATTCGTAGCTTTTGCATGTTTCTGGTTATTTAGTAGATACGACATTCTTAATGGCATCTCAACATCAGTGTAAGAAGGAAGTTTTGAATTACAAAATGTTCCTACTTTTATTACAGCTATTTTGATGCAGTAACTGCCAATATTGAAAACCTCTAATCCAATAAATTATTTTTCAAATCAAACATACACATAAGCCTCTCTCTATATTCTTCTTCATTTTTATAACTATGATGTTTTACAACATCATGCTAAGCTAAAATGGATCCCAGGTAAAATTCTCAGAAGTGCCTGCTGTTCCACCGACTCTAACAAGGTATATGTGCTTTTGTATCATGAGTGCTTTTCAAAATACTGCCTTTCAACATTCTTTTGAATAAAATAATTTGAAATAGATTCTTGGAAATCATATTCCAGCAGATTTCCCTCTTCATCTAACCTTGACAGCCCTTAAAAAAATCCTTGCCAGTTGTCTTAGGATTTCAGATCAATCCCTTTGTGTCTCCACTCCGGAGAGAATCTACATTGAGCAGCTCTCAGAAGGTCAGACCTTGTTCCAGTGAAATTTCTGCAGTTATCACAGATTCTGTTCTGAAGCAGAGCAGGCTTCAGGGAGGTTTCCAAGTCTCTTGCAAAGAAAATAGGAGGAGGGCAAGACCACCTCACAGAGTATGATGATAAAAGGCCTTTTCCTCCTCCACAGAAATGTCAAACAACCAGTAAAGTATAATCTATAATTTTCCCTATCTCTATTAAGCTGGCAGTGTTTCTGACCATAGAAATCTCTAAATTATTCTTTTATTTTTACCACCTGTTGCTACAGCATAGGTATAAGAACATTATTTAAAAAGAAACAACCAAACAACACAAAACAAAACAAAACCAACCAAACAAAAAAAATATGTATGAACAGGCAGCAATTTTTGATCTCCAACTCATAATTGATAACCCAATGTTTGTTTTAAAACGGAAAAATTAAGGCTAGACAGAAGATTGAATAAATATTATGGTTTTGACTGACGAGGTGTAGTAAACATACACAAAACCTTAATTTGCTAATGAAAAAGGAAACACTGTAAGAAGAAAGCAACACTGTTGACCACAGTGGGTGGATCTGGTCTCAAACTGAAAAGAAATGTACAAATGATGACGAGGCATCTGATTTTGGATGTCATTTTGAAAAGCAAATTTTTAAATTCACTTCAGCAACACAATACTTACTTGCCTTGAAAAATGTAGGCTCTCAGGTTTTCTGGCACCTGTGAGAAGCTGCTTTGTTCGTATTTTAAAATTAAGATTGTACAATACCAGCCAGCCATTTTGTCTGTGAGTTTCAATGTGAGAGAAGGGTACAGACCACCTGTGAATTTTCTTTAAGGCCTTCTTTCTTTGTTTATTTACTCAAGCCAGTAAATTTAAAAAAGAAAAAAATCACCTTGGTCTACGATGTAAGAGTGCCTTTACAGAAATAAGGAGCCTGGGAAGATTGAATACAGTAATTTCCTCTAATTTTGAAAATTATCACTGCTGAATCTTTTCTGAGGGTGAAAGTGTAATTTGTTATAGATCAATAAGTAATTTCATTGAAAAGGAACTCTTCTGTTCCTGAAAGTAGAGAGATTCTTAAATCAAAATTGAACTAATACGTTAACAAAGTTGAGACTAATCTAAACAACAAAATTTTATAGTGCCCTAGTTATGTTTATCTCAGCTAATCATTTATTTATGTTGCCATAAAAACCCAGACACTTTCAATTCTGACTGCTCATTATTTGCCTGTTTTAAGGCAGCTGAAATTACTTGTTTTAACTTCCTAGCTTGACAATCTTGCTTTCTGTTTAAGATTCATCATCACAAAGGAATGGTGAAATCAGAGAATAAATTCTAGCATTAACAATAAGCACAGTCAGTTGTGATACACTGTAGTTCCCCCAGTAGATTCCAGATTAAATCCTCCAGGATTAATGTACTTTCCTTTGACATTGCTAAATCCTGATTTATGTAATTAGATTGCAGTAAACTGATATATCTGTAGAAGTATCGCAGGATGATTTTTAATTGAAAAGTCATATAAAGTAACACTGTATAAAGTAAAAGGCATTTTGAGACTATCTGAGATCCTGCAGGGTATTATACGCGTGAAGTCATTGTCATTTAGTTCACTACTGACCTTAAAGTTAATTAACAAACTGCTGTATTTACATTAAATTAAAGCCCCACAAATATGAGAACAATCAAGACAAAAAGAAGTATAATGCCTTTGTTAATAATACTTACGATATGCAGCTCTAAATAATCTCCAAGCCCAGTAGAACTGTCCACTCGTACCAACACAGCTTCTTTTTGAACAGTACTAAAGCCTATTGCCAGTCTGTCCGCGCGAGTGCTTGGCCGATCGTTAGGAGGCCACGTGTAAGTGATTTGTCCACCTCCTTTGCTAAAGATGTATGTTGTTCCCGCTGTAAAACAGAAATAAAGATAATTAGCTCGCTTGCACCAATGCAAACCCGTATGGAACTCATATGCTCTACAAAAATCAAGATGTTCTCATATAGCAAATGGATTCATAGAAAGAAACAAGACCTTATTTCAACATGAAAGGGTCTTTATCTCCGGAAATTCTGAAGTGAAATATTAGTGATTTTTCTATAGTGTAATCAACACAAAATATAATTGCATATGCAGTGACTTAAAATATCATAGCTCTGATTCAGAAATTCCCTATCTATTCAAGAGTTTTTAAGCATATGCTTGAAAAACATGTTTCTGTGATGTGTGGAACAGAGATGAGCTTATTCTCCCAAACAGGGCCTATGTGGAGAACATATCAAGTAATTCCAGTTATCTCATGACTGACAAAAAAAAGGCAGCTCCTTATTTACACAATGAAAATGATACACACTGTATGATACGTCACCATGCCCAGCGAAGCAAGACATGAACAAACACATTCAGATAATACTTTCAGACATCTGAGGTTTATCAGCTTGTGGCAGATGGGGATAACAAATGGAAACACACTTTACTTGTCAAGTCAGGACAAAAAGATATCAATCTACCATCTAAGTAAGCAATGGCTTATTTGCATAATGCTCAATGTATGACTTATAAGAGTGGAATTTTTTGTGCATCATATCCAGTGTGCACTTACATAATCTATAATCTGTTTTAAACAAGTGCAGCAGTCTAAAACCACTTAGCACTCAGGTGCTTAACTTCATCACCAACATATTTCCTCTCTACTAAAATAGAAGCACACTCAGATAATTTTTCCATTTAAAAATTCTATCCTAAAACAAGCATACAGCAAACAAATTGTCCACACATTTGATCTTTCATTTGTAAAGTCACTATAAGCTGGCCACTTCTTTTCTATGAAGATAGGTCAAAGCTTAAGGAGATATGTCAGCACATTGTAAATACAGATATCTCCATTTACAGACAGGCTCACTGTGTGGCTACTCTCAATTTTATTACATGTAATTCAGTTTATTCCACTCAATATTCCTGCTACATACTTCCCATGTCCACATAAAGAGATGTGCATAGCAACAGAATTGTCATTTTCTTATTTTCTTTCAAGATTGACCAAAAATTTTGTCTCTTTACATAAAGGAGGAATTATATACCTACTCATTAGTTTCTTCCAGTACCATCAATGTGTAATATTTTATGTACTGTGCGTAGCACTTAAAAAACCGCAAAGCTTATTTTATATCAACACATTTGCAAGATTGCACTGTGCTTCAAATAGATCTCTTGGCTTTTCTCTTGATGGCAAAATACCAACCTGAATGTGTTCTAGGAAATCTCAACTCTCTTTAGCAAAGACAAACTCAACAACAGATTTGATATCTAAGGTTTCACTTACACTCCAAATGAAAGCAGAGTTAATATCATTATAACAAGTTGTGCAACAGTAGTGAAGATAGGGGCTATGCCTTTAAAAAAGCTTGGTAATGGACATGGGTAAATGGTGCCTGCTTTAGGAATGTGTGTGACAAAAAAATAATCTCCTGCTCTCCCATCCTTGCTTTCTTCCTATGCTGTGCTCTGAAACGCACAATAATCTGTTGCATGCTATTCAGTAATGATGAATCTCCAGTAATAGCACATCCCAAAAAAAAGATATGTGAGACAGGTAGTATCACTCTTGATAGTCCCCAAGTTCTCCTCTTTTCTGCTAGTGTTGACTTCAAATCTTGAGCCAATTGAGGAGTGACAAAGTTTGGACTTTCATGCAGTATATGTCACATTGGTGTCTGTAGTGAAAGGATTTATTCTGTGTTGATGAAAAACTGAGAGCTTGATCTAAAGCTCATTAAAAACAGTGACAGCCTTCCTGGTAACTTCATAAAATATTGTGTCAGGTCATGAATGAGGTTCTTATAAGTAACAAAATTGAGAAGGCTAAGAAAAAAGCAACTCCTTACACCTCAATGTCACAGATAAAACTGTTACAATAGTAGATTAGATTTAAGTGGGAGTGCAGAATTCTCCTTTTCTTGGTTTAACAGATGTGTTTACCCAATATAGAAGACAAAGTGTGCCAAGTGATGGTGGAGTCATAGTGAATACAATGACCCAGAAGTAAGTCTCCAAATTTGAACAATAAGAGACTTCATTGTTCTTATTCAGACAGAATCTTTGTCACAGTTTTTTGCTAAATACTGCCCTTCAGATAAACCAATGAAGAGCAATTCATTCCTTACTGCTGCCGCATTGAAGCCAAGGTCAATGTCAGCAGGGCTGGATAAATCTAGCTGGAAATCTTAAACTATATAGAATCAACATCAAAGTTAAAAACATCTTTTATCCAGGATAATATGTGGCTTATGTTTTTTTTTATACCAAAGCTCTTCCTTCTTCATAACTGTTCATTTTGTAGATCCTCAAACTAACTGCGTGTCTGGTTACAGGCTAATTAATCCATGTTGATGAATACAGATTGGCCTCTGTCTAAACTGTACAAGGAGTCACGTTCTTTGAATTTCCTGTATTAATTATGAAAAAAATGGGTCGGAAGCCATTTGAGAATAGATCCTCCAGTGTTTATGTTTCAGGAAAGACAAATATAATAATGTAAAATTTATTACTCGGAGATTGATCTCAGCTTATAGTCTGACCTCCCATTAACTATTAAAAGCTAGAAACAGAGCAGTATTTCAAAAGCACCCTGCTACTCTCAGTTTTGGATTTGTTAAGAAACAACAGAGGAAGCCTAATTCACTTGCTCCATAAAGGCTTTTATGCTCTCTGACAAACCTAATGTCTCTGCTCTTCTTTCAGAACATTGTCACTAAAACCAGTCATCCTTCCTTCTCCGTTAGCTTATGGCACTGTGTTGTTTGGGGTTTATCATCTCAAGAGAATTGAAAGCAGCAGAATTAGAATGTCAAGAATAGCAACGCCACCAGCATAGTACTTATAAGTGGGCAACTTTGTAACATGCCAGTTATATCTCGCAGCTGCAGAATTTACTGCATAATTCTTTATGCGTCCATGCATCCACACAATGATTAGGAAAAACATCCATACAACTCTTTCAAATTCTTGACCATGAAAGCATGGTTCCTATTGTAGCAAACTGCCAGTGGTCAAGATACAGTAATGTTTTTTAATGGCCTGGGTCTCTCAAGTCCTACTTGTTTGCAAAATTCATCTTTATGAAATAGAGCATTCATCCCAGCACAGCCTGGCAGCAACTCAAGGACATCTGCTTACCTATACAGTATTAAGCAGATAAATATTTTGTTTAGTACCTATCTACTGTATCTATTACTGTGTACAACTGGAAAGCTTTTCAATATTTATTGCTCTGAAGTCACATCTGATGTAGTTTAATAGTTGACTCAAATCAACAACAAATCAACAGCCTTCTGCCTTCCTCATGTTCATTCCAATTTTGTGTTTAAGGTATATTGCACCAAAGGGTAATGTGCGTAATTCCATTTTTCTCATATAATGTTAGTAACGTAATGTTTATTTTCAACATTCACATCAGGTTTCAGATGCTGATTAAGTGAAAGCAATGGTTTTATTGAGCTCTGGACCCCAATGAACTATGATACCATCACACTCTGTAGCTGAAAAACTAAAGACTGAAGCCTGTAAACTTCAGTAACAGAAACTATTGGCTGTCCTTCCATTAATAGCAAAGTAATTTTTAACTATTATAAAAAATATGAAGGGTAAGCATTGCTGGTTATAATGAGAAATTACCCAGTAATGTAATTTTCTTCCTTCTGTATATTATCAGTATTTTACTTCATTCTGGGATAGAATGTGAACCCGCTTATTCCCACTGGTAAGTAATTACTTGCATTGATAAACCTGCTGAATCCAGTGAGACTATTTGTGCAGGCTACTATTAATTACCAAGAGTGAAGAATATGAATATATATATATACACGCATGCATATACACACATTTGCCCAAACATCTATATGGAGGCATTAATCACACTTGCTATGTTCAAGGGAGCACATAACTCTCCATAAATGCTTCTTTTTACATTTTCATTTATGTATTTTCATCCTACCCAAGCTGAAGATACAGAAAAGTGCACAGAATTTCCATATGTAGATTTGTACAGATTTTCTAAGGTAAGTAAAGAAAGGAATGCTTCAAGTCTGAAATGTGATACATGAGGAGGAGAGGGGGTGAGCATTTTGAAATAATCAGTTTGGGGGATTAAAAAATAAATCTGTGTGTTTATTCTTAGACCATGTCGTGCTACTATTTACACAGAACAGAGAATACATGGCACAAGGTTGATATGAGGAGGAAATGACCATTAGAATTATCCATAGGAAAAAGATGGAAAGAGTTGTTGTAAGAAGTATTTCTAACTAGAGATCAGGTTCAACTGACATCAGTCTTCTCTACATACAGTCTATTTAGCAGCAGAAGAGGGGTACTGGATGGGGAAGGAGAATATTTTCAAATGGATCATTGCCTGTAGCACTCCAAAAAGCTTGAGCCACAGGGGTAAGAATGAAGAAACATCTCATTTTCTGGCCAGGTTCTTCTTAGACTCATGGATAACAGGATCTAGGAGTGTATATATGATGTTACTTTGACCACACTCAGCTTGGAAAAAAATAAAAGGGTCATAACTTTCCTGGAAATTGAGTGCCATTCAAAATAATTTCTAGTTAGGTCCTTAAACTGATCTGACTGTATGCTCAAATTACAATTGTTGATAACAGTCTTAGCATGCTGATTCGTTTGGCAACTCTAAGATCACAAACTTCACTGCATAATTCCTTAGTAACTCCATTACTTAATTCATGGATCTTCCATCACAAAATCACAGAATCACAGAATGGCAGAGGTTGGAAGGGACCTCTGGAGATCATCTAATCCAAACCCCCTGCTAAAGCAGGGTCACTTACAGCAGGTTGCAGAGGAACACATCCAGGCAAGTTTTAAAGTCTCCAGAGAAGGAGATTCTACAGCTTCTCTGGGCAGCCTGTTCCAGTGCTCCATCACCCTCACAGTAAAGAAGTTTTAACTCATGTTCAGACAGAACTTCCTATGTTCTGTTTTGTGTCCATTGCCCCTTGTCCTTCCACTGGACACCACTGAAAAGAGTCTGGCCCCATCCCCTTGATACTGGCCCTTTAGATATAGACATTGAGAAGATCCCCTCTCAGCCTTCTCTCCTCCACGTTAAACAGCCCCAGGTCTCTCAGCCTTTCCTCTTAAAACAGATATTCTCATCCCCTAATCATCTTTGTAGCCCTCCACTGGACTCTCTCCAGTAGTTCCCTGTTTATCTTGAACTGGGGAGCTTAAAACTGGACACGGTGCTCCAGATGTGGCCCCACAAGGGCAGAGTACAGGGGGAGAAGAACCTCTTTCAGCCTGCTGGTCACACTCTTCTTAAAGCACCCCACAATACCATTTGCCTTCTTGACGACAAGAGCATATTGCTGGCTCACGGTTAACTTCTTGTCCACCAGGACCCCCAGGTTCATCTCCACAAAACTGCTTTCTAGCATGTCAACCACTAACTGCACTTGTTCATTCTACCAGAGTAACCAAACTGACCAAACCAGTACTGAGAAAGACCATTGCTGGGTTTCATTATTAATACCTTCATTAATGAGATCATCTTGCCACTTCAGGTAAAGGTGTGGATGAAAATAGAGAAGAGAAAATGTTTATCTGCCTACTTTCAGCCTTCTGCAGCACTCACTTTTCACTCTGCTACAGTTAAGCTCTAAAATTCAGTTTTTCTGTAAAATAAGATTGAAGCCACATTACATTTACAGTGGCTGCTGCTAGCTGAAACTCCAAATTTCCAACACTAGCTATGATACTACTGAGGCATCTGCACTCTCTGCATAGGTTTATACTGTAGTGATTGTAATCTAAAACTGAAGCCTGTTTCACAGCATGGGACATGTCTTAAAAGTTATGGTCAAGAAGCTGGTGTCACCCAGACAATAATTAAACGGATATGACCTCAACCAGTTCTATCATCAGCTGAAGCAATTCATTAAAATGAGCCAACAAAGCAGTATCCCCAGTATATAAAAGATCATAGAATCATTTAGGTTGGAAAAGACTTTTAAAATCATCAGTGCTGAAACAGAAGAGCCTTCACTTCACAGGTGCTGTCTGCTGCCTACACCAGGTTATCTATCAAACAGTCAATGCCAGTATCAAACACTACCTTCTGCATTCCTTGACAAATAAACAGAAACATGCTATGTAGCTACTATTAATTAAAACACAACTTGGCATTGTATTATAGAACTTCTCTTCCCAAACCACTACAGAAACCCTGACTTAACAGAGCCTGCAAGGGTTTTTAATCACACTAGATCCAAGTTTTCACAGACATCTACAAAAGAGTGCAGTGCATGTTTTATTATATTTGGCTATCCCCAAGAGCCACCTCCAGGTAAAGGTCTAAGTGATAATCACACACATACATGTGCACAGAAACCAAAACCCAAACAAACCAGGAAAACCAGAAAACCACTCCTTTCCTACTTCTTGTCAAGGGTTAGTGCTGGGATTGCCATCAGGTGAATGACAGATGCTCTCTATTAAATTTTCTCTCTTCCCAAACAGGAAGAGAAAAGGAATAAGAGAGAGAGACTTAATGAACTGGAAAACTAAAACATCTTCAATGAAAATAATAATTAAAATAGAATACATACAAATACATATAAAACTAATATTGAATCCAGCCTCCCTGGTGGGTACTATGTCACCACTGATGCTGTGGGCAGACATTGGGGAAGTCCCATACTGGACTCAACGGCAGAAGGGAACTGGAAGCAGGAGCTGGATTCAGGAACTGGATTCAGGAATGCATGGATTGGGACAGAGTTCTTAGATGCCGGCCATTGAAGAAGACAGCTTGACCCACATGATACCTCAGCTTTATGCTGAATATGACATAAATGAGACGGAATACCTCACTGGTCAGTTTAGGGTTACCTGTCACCTGTCCTGTCCGCAGGTGTGACCTCTTACTTACTGTGCCTCCCTTGTGGTACACAAGATTTACCAATGACTTTGGTTTGTACAGAAGCAAGCATAAGCAAGAGCCTTTTTGCACACCAATCCTTGCTAGTAACTGTAAACATTAAATATTATCACTTCTAGAAGTAGGCACCATCTGCAAAAATATGCTGTTAACTTCAGAAAGTGCAGTTAGAAGAGACTTAGCCGAAAAGTAACATCACTGAACAGAATTTGTTCTGTTGTAATTCAAATCAGGACATTTCTCCTTTCTTCTAGTCTATGGCAATGATATTTGTACAGTACCATGACCTGGTAAATGCTTTGTAGGTGGTACAACAACATTCTCACCTGTCTAAAATGAACCCTAGGGTCTGCCCGTAATTTGACTTTCTGGCAACAGTCTCCTGACTAAAAGGAGTGCTCAGCCTTACACTGGTCACCAGCTCAACTGACAAACGTGCAACTGCACCTTTGGCTTCAGCCACTTGCACTGAAGCTTGGTCTTATTCCAGTTAATTCTCTGCATTTGCTGAGAACTCAGTGGAATGCTTCTCCATTAACTAGGTCACATCATATCTCTCACAGTAATGCAAGAAAGAAATGCTTTTTCCATGTGGGGAGACTGCCAAATTTATTTAAGACCCTTTAAATGTTAACGGTGCTACACAAATAAAACCCTTTCTTGTTTCTGTCTTTGAGCTTTATATCTCATTGCTCATATTTTAGACTGCATGGCATAATAAAGTGGGGTAAATATATTCAATTCCAGTTCCAATTGCTCTTGGAATTTTAATTCCCCCGTTTCAAATGTGAAGTCTTATTTTTAGAAAGCTTCTCTGTGGAGGATAACTTTATGGAGCTGCACAACATATTCACTGTCCTTGCTCATCCTCCAATAACTTTTCAATCCAATAGCCAAGTTCAGGCAAATTTGAGAGAGGGGTAGGCAGAAATTAAAAAAAAACCAAACAAAACAAAACAAAACAAAATAAAACAAAAAAAACCCACACCACCACTTTTAGCAGTTGAATGAAAATCAGTGACTCTGTAAAAGAAATCTGTAGAGCTCAACCACTATAATTTTTGCTTGGAAACAGACTTGAGGGCACTTGGTAGTCATATATATGTGGGCCAGTCAATACACTCAGAGCTCTACACTACTCAGACAATGGTGCCACACATTTGAGGTGTCATGAGGAGATCTAGGAGGAAAGAGGAATAGAAGTTGTTGGATTCTTGCAGTAAGAGAAAGTAATACTTGGGAAACAAGACACCATACCATAAAAAACCAGGATTCATTATATATGCTGCTTTTGGAACCAAATATTCATATTTCAAGCCAAAAATAACATATTTATCTACAATGGGGATATCTAGTTCTACTGATCTCAGTAGGGTCACTAAGGGACAAACACCTCAAGCTTGTGAGTAGTGATGACTCGATGTGTATGCCTATAAAGAAAAACTCTTATGCAGCTCAGCACCAGTATTACAAGTTAGCAACATTCTTACCATCATAACTGACACAGATGATTAAAATAAAAGTTTCAAAGAATGGAAAGGATTTTACAACTGGAGTGATTCTAATATCTTTACTCAAATCAAGTAGCATCTTACATCTCGAATGACCCCATTGATTTAGATTAGATCACTTAACTGGAGTAAAGTACTACTTATTTTGAGTAGGCACATCAAACTAAGAGCTTTCAATTGTGTTTAAAATGAATATAATTTTGAGAAGGACCTTAGCTAAGCAAGACCTAGCTGAAAGGATTTCTAAGAGAATGTAGAAGTTAGAGTATCTCTTCATCTGACACTAACAAAACATGAGTTGATTTACTGAATGCCAATAGACTCAGTAGGATTTAGGCACTGATTCTGTAAAATTATTTTTACTATATTGATATTGTTGATCTCATTAGTATGTTCATTTATACAAAAAATGGTTTTTATTTTATGAAAGAGTACAGACTTTCTAACACAGATTTGACACAGACTGGTAAAAGAAAGCTATTGTTCTTCTCCAGAATCTCTCAGTTTAAAAGTTTTACTGGCTGCCTACTACCTATCACTTTTCCAGTATCAGTGGCTGTTCAAAAGAATTTAGAACATTTCTGCATGAAATGTAAGCCAAGTAATTCTCCATTATTGCCTTGCACCTTTATGTACTGTAGATGGCTAGAAAATGATACATTTCTGAAATCAAAGCCTGTTTTAAATGTCATACTGCAGTCAACGTGAAACATTTTAATCCATTATAACTATATTAAAGGTAACAAGGATACGTGTCTGCTTCTGAAAGCTTGCCAAAAAGTCAGATGGAAATTAAAAGTCAAATATGTATAAAGAAGGCAAGGTTTTATTCCTCCTACAACCCTGTCAGCTTCCAGTTAAAGATACATTTCTTCAACAGTGTCTAGAGAAGCATAAATTGTGTTATCGGGAAACACATAGGAAAAATATTTCTAGACAGATATAATATAAAGGCATTATCAGACTGAAAATAATATACCCAAGTACTCTTGAAGACAATAGGACTGTTCTGGTCCCCACACTCCTTACATTAGGAAATGCCAAGGCCCTATACTTCAGTTTAACCACTGTTACATCAAATTCTTCACGTGCACTGATTTTCTTCTTATGGCTTATTAGTTGTGTCAACATACAAGAAGAATGCAGTTAAGGAGATGGTTAGTCAAAGGGATTTGTAACAGGATGCAGAAACTAGGACATTAGCTCAAACACTACGCAGGTCGATACAGACCAAATGTTGTTACCATCTGTTGGTGGCCTATGTGAAATCATTCGGTGGTTCCAGTCCAGGGACCTTACAAACTCAACAGATACCTGGCAAAAGTTAGAAATTCCATAAGCCAAGTAACTTGATTTGTTAGTTTCCAAGCTTGCTGACTCAACTGGAAGGACAGTAAAGTTGATGACAAACTGCTTATGCACCAGGATCTGAACACCTCTCATGAAAGCAGGTCTGCACAGATGTGTATATAGGCCAAAAAACAGCAGAAGACAACCCAAAATTAAATTTTCTCCATAGATGACCATCAAAAGGCAATGCACCTTTCAAATTTATTTTTTCTTAAAGTCATTATTTCAAGCAAAACAGAGTGCCTGAAGTTATGGTTTCGTTCAAACACCTCCAGCAGTATCCTGATTCTCAGAAGTGTTGCAGCATTTCTGGCAACTTTTAAAATCCAAACCCCTATTTTCTAAATAGAGATACAAACATTTGAAATAGCTGGTCTTAAGTTATTTAATTACATTAAAGTGGACAGGAGTTTGGCTGCAAATGGCTAGTGTGCTTCCAGGCTAAAGTCTTTATTTCTTATTGGCTTCCTTACTAATACAATACTCAAACTATCCAATCTTGTGTTACTTAGTTGTTTTTAATTTACAATTACATTATTTTCCTTGCTAAACTGTGCATCTAATATTTTACTCTTGAAAAAACCTTTGAGAGCTTTCAAAAGTAGTAAAAAGTTGTCTTAGAAAAAATTTATAACCT